AATAAAAACAAGCAAAAAAACCCACACACATGCAAACAGAAGAAAAAATTTAATCTAGAGTATACATTAAAAGCACTTCCTTTTCAAGCAAGGTTTTATGTGATAGTCTAACATAAAAAAAAAGTTGTTTCATCAGGTTATATCTTAGCAATGTCAGAATATCTGACATTATAAAAACAAGACTCTCCAACTACTTCCACGGGTGTTTACAAGGTGCCTTTTTTTAATTATACTTGATTCCTTTAACTTTGCAAGCCTATTTCAGTTGTTCGTCTTAAGAAGGTCCTGTCCTATAGGATAGATACAGCAAAGTCATCTTTTCCTAGTTCTGTTACCACCAATTTTCTCAGTAGATTTCGTTACTGTCTATATGAAGGCAGTGTGAAGTGCCTATGAGGCAGCAAAGAATATTCCTATTAAGAATCAGTTTACTGTGTACTAGTGTCTTCAGATGCTATTTTAAGACCTTAAAAGGATTTCACTATTTAACAGAGGTCTGAACCAGTTAAACAAATCTTCACATCTCCACTGAAACACTCACATTATGAAAGAACAGTTACCAGGGGAGATAGACACCCAAGCAGCACGTATGTTCTGTTCTTTCTGTTCAAGACTTTAACTCAGTTTAACAAAATTGGCTTCTGTTTTAGTTACATTATGAAAATATCTAACTATATATTCTGCTAAGTTTTCTTAGAAAAACCCTTTTTAGATGTTTGATATGTTTACATGTGTGAAAAATGCAAAGAGCAACTGTTGGCAAAATACATTAAGATGTGCTGAAACCACTGAGGGTTTTATAAATACTGAGATAATTCCTACTCAGAATGAACACCAATATAAGCCAAAGGAAGTTCTGCCATAGCAAAGATCAGGTCATTTGGTCATGTATTAGGACCACAGCAGACTAAGGAAATTAAAAAAAATAAATTATCCATCCCATAATCATGAAGAAGTCCTCCCAATAGGATGATCATTTTTTGTTTGTTTCTACAGAAGAATCAGCTAAAAATAGCAGTTCTAGGCTTCTAAAGTCTACTCTTGGTGTGACATAAAACTAACTACTTAAACAGTAAATATTCCAGATATTAAAAGGCAAAGGTGAATTTCCAAGTAATTCTAAAAAAATTCTTGTAGTTATGTTTCTTACACCCTCTGAAGATCTGCAATTTCCTTTGGAGGAGAATAAAATGAAGTAAAAGGGCAAAAGGCTTAAGAAGGTAAGAGTAAACATAAACAACACATCTTTCCAAATAATATTTACATTGAGTGCTTAATTTTGGTATACACTCATGTAAATACAGAAGTGTATATATTTCAAGGCCATTTCCATTTCTTGCCTCCCGGGATGTTTACAGATGCATACTGCACCTAGGATTTGTGCTGTGCACCATAACACTCGGTACTGGTATACGGGCTATAACCTAACAGGATGAAATATACGATAGCCAAGTGCATCCAGCTATGTGACCAGCGTAGAAAGGAGTAAAAAACCAACCAAACAAAAAGAACTCAATCCACAAACACACAAAAAACCCCAGACCACTAAATACACACGCACTTCATACATACTAAGAAACGCACAAGTGCAATTTAAATGAGGCACTACTCCAGGAAGACAGACCTTGGTCTGTACTGCAGGGCACAGTGTGTTGTTAACCCAAACTCTAATTTGTTTATACGGCCGAGGCTGGCAGCACACGCACATCTTCGGAACAGATCAAAAATCATGGAGCCGATGCGCGTTTGTGCCGAGCACCCCCATGCACATCTGCAGGCACACGCGGGAGCACGGCCACGCTACGCCCGCGGGATAACTTCACATCCACGCAGGCCGGGCCGTCAGCAGAAGACGGCGATGGAGGAGGAGGAGGAGGAGGAAGCAGCCTTCGCCGCCTCCCACAGCGCCCGCGGCCCGCCCCTCCCGCCCGGCATCCCCGCCGCGGGTACCGCGGGGGCGGCCCTGCGGGGAGCGGGGGGACGGGGCAGCCGGGCGGCGCGGCCGGTCCCCCCGCAGCGGCGCTCGGTGCGGGAGCGGAGCCCCGGCTGCTGGCGCGGGGAGGTTTCCAGGCATCCTCGCTGCATGCGGGGAGCAGCACGGCAGTGACAAGCGGCGGCGCAGCCTGCGGGGGGGCTCCGCGGAGCGCAGCCCGGAGAAAGAGGAGGTGGAGGAAGAGGGGATGCCCGGAGGAGCCGGCGGGCTGGGGGAGGGAGCCGAGCCCTGCCCCCCTCTCCCCCAGGCACCGGGGCGGGGGAGGAAGCTGGGGCTCCCTCTCTCTCTCACGCCAGCCCTGTGCAGCGCCTTCAAGGCGGAGAGGGGGAGGCGGCGGGGGGAGGAAGGGGGGGAAATGCTGCAATGTAGCGCCGGGCGGGCAGGCGAGGGAAGCCGCAAACCCTCCACTGGGGCCCGCCGCAAGCCCCCGGGCCGAGCCCACCACTCGAAGCAGCCGCGCCGGCGGCAGCCCCGCGGTACCTGCCCGGGGCGGGGACGGCGAGCACGGACGCGACCCCAGCGGGACGACACGGCCGAAAGGGCGGCCGGGGCGCAGCACCCACCTTTCACCACCCTGTCCGTCGTCGATAACTTGGGATCAACGGCCTTATGCTCCGACATGTCCGGCGGCCGGGGAGGCGGCGAGGCTCTCCCCCCTCGGGCAGGGCAGGCGCGGGCTGAGGCGGCGGCCGCCGCTGCGGTCACGGCTCCGGCTCCTCCGCTGCGGCCGAAGTTGCCGCGTCCCGCCGCCGCTCGCTGGCTCGGCTGGGCTCTGCCGCGCGGTGCCTTCCTCCTTCGTCTTCCTCCACCCCCGTCCTCCTCTTCCTCCTCCAGTTAATTATTGCTCGCTTTCAATCACGCCTCCGGGCTGTGTAGGACGGCTCGCTCTTCCCCCCCCGCCAAAGACCCCGGCGACAACACCCGCGGCGGGGCGGCTGTCAGGCAGCGCCGGCAGGAAAAGCCGCGAGTGGACGCGGGCAGCAGGAACAGCCAGGTTGCACACGCAGCGGCCAGCCCTGCGCTTCCTTCCTCCGCGGCGCGCCGCTCCGGCTCCTCCCGCCGCCACCACCGCCGCCGCCGCACCGGACCGGGATGCGGATCCGTGTCTTGCCCGGCGCCCCCCGCAGGGTCTGTCCCCCGGCTCGCTCCGACACCGGCCGCGGCCCCGCGCCGCTGCCAACGCTCCGCCGCGCAGCCCCCGCGCGCCGCCCGGCCCCGCCCGCCAGGCTCCCGCTCCCGCGCGCCCCCATT